AGGCTTATAGTGTATACCCTTTGGTTAGTTGATGATGCATGGAGGGCATTGTAACCACGGCAATGAAACGATATAAGATAGGATGAATGTGAAGCTAATGTTTTCCCATGTAAACTATCACATAATTCACAATAAAACATTTAAGAAGAAGAAAAAAAAAAAACAACAACACAGAAAAAGCCCCCGCCACTGCCAAAAGTTAAAAAAAAAACAAAGATGAAAATGTAAGGGGGCAGAGAAACTAGATTAATGCAAAAGGAACAACCACAACAGAACAATCAGAATATTTAGACATTGAAGAAGAATGTAACCAATGGCACTGAAAATTTTGTGTAGAAATTGTTGAATGGGAATCTAAAGTCTTGTTTGTATAAACCTTCACCAAAAGCAATATTCTTTTAAAAAAAAAAAATCAAGAGAAAAGGAAAGACAGGAAGAAGAAAGAATGAACAAAAACAACAAAACACTGAAAGGGAAAACCAAACAAAACCAGTGCTGGCCTTGGACTGAGAGAGGAGAAAACTTTGGAGCACTTAGACCCAGAGAGCGACTGTGTGCTGATGACCTGGGGAGCAGGCTTGCAGGGTATATACCCTTTGGTTGGTTGATGATGCATGGAGGGAATTGTAACCATGGCAATGAAACAATACAGGATAGGATGAATGTAAAACTAAAATTTTCCCATGTAAACTACCACATAATTCACAATAAAACATTTTAAAAAAATCAATCAATGTATTTCACTTCACAAATCTATTAAAGACCTCTTTAAAGTATTCAAGGCGAAATAAATAAATCAGTTTGAGGACTTAAGAACAAAATAGGGGCTTTCCTCTGACTTCCCATCTTCCAACTTCTTCCTAGATGAACCATGGGACCAGATCCGAAAGGCTCTGCACCAGACTGGGTAGAGGAGCAGAAGGCTCTAATGAAGGGCCCAACAATGTGGAGAAGCATGGACGTAGGAGAACCACACACCTTCACTACGAGCACTATCCCTGCTGCCCACTACACCTACCTGATGGTTTTATCTTCCGAGGTCTGTAGGATGTATGGTTCTCTGGGGACCCAGCACAGGTGAGTGACCTGGAAGAAACAAACACTTTCAAAAGGTCTTCTCCTCAAGTCATCCTCTACTGCAATTTCCCATCAACTCTGCCAACCAGCATCTCCACACCTCAAGACTGCTGAACTAGTACATTTATTTGACTTAGAGGGATTTTATGCTTTGCAGATACCAGCCAGTCACGCTCCACCTGTGTCTCTTAGGTTACCAGCAGCAACAGGAACAGCTAGGTCAGTTCTGAGTGCCAAAACCCACTTAGAATGCCTGAAACCCCAGCCACTGCTAGCCTAATGGCAGCTCAGAAGAGCACAACCCTGAGGTGAGACCACTGAGCCGATAAGGTCTCTTCAGGCTCCTGGAGAGCTTATCCCTGCAGCCCCCTGCTGGGCAAGGCACGAAACCCTTTTCAAAAATAATCCAAGATAACAGGATTCACTTTTCTTGGAATCTCCCCAGCATTTGGCCATTCACTGTCCGTTGTCTCTGAAGTTTGATAACTACTAATGCAGTGTCTGCCATGAGTCAGGTAGTTCATACGCATTGCCTCATTTAGCCTCTAAGAGCCTTCTGGAGCTACTAAAGCTCGAAATGTTAAGTAACTTTTAAACCCACGCATGACTGATCCCTACCCTTCACTTGTCAGTTTCGTGCTGTGGTGGCTTGATGTGTTGCAAGTGCTGTGATGCTAGAAGTGATACCACCGGTCATTCTAATCTCAGCAGGGCCACCCACCAGCAGGTTTCAGAAGCACTTCCAAACTAAGAGAGGCTAGGGAGAAGGAAGAGGTAGTCCACGTCTAAAAAATTAACCATGGAAACCTTATAAAGAGCAGCAGAGTACTGTTGGACACAGTGCT